AATTAATTTAATTCCAAATTTAATTTAATTAATGTGGAAAACAGAATTTGGGAGCAAAATAAAACAGATTTCATAAAAACATTGTGATACAAACCACCAGTTTAAAAAAACACTGAGCATAAAGTAATATAAAGCAGCAAAAGCAAAGAATTTAAAAAACATGATGAAAGCAATAACCTGCAGTTTAGTAAGACTGCTCCAACTACTTTAAAATTGTTTTTGATTCACTTAAAATAACGGACTCAATAGAATCCGCAGATACGATAAGGACACTGTGGACTTTGGCAAAGCATGGGTGTTGGGGTTCTGCAGGGGTAGACGCTGGCCAATATTTGCCAAGGTACATGGCAGAGGAAAACAGCCTGAACCCTGACCACACCAAGAGTGCTTCTGATGAATAAGATCCATTCTGGCTTGAGATTCCACCACAGCGAGGTGAAAGGCACCCTGTGTAGTTAACAGGCTTAATCTGCTACGAGCACAGCGAGAAACAGACAAACTATCAAGCAGAAAAGAAGCAATTAAAAGCAAAGGCATCTGAAAAATCATTTGAACCAGATAGGAGACTCAGAGGTCTAGCCTAGGTCAAGCTTCGTCCCATTCTCTCCTCTTATGGTATAAACTCTCTCCTCAGAGCCTCTTTGCCTTCCCCCAACTAACCTTCAAAGAAAAAAGGCCCTAAAGGCCAAAGAGGGTCCCATGTACACAGACAGATTGCTCTGTCTCCATACATAACTGCCATGAAAACATTCCCAGGCCGACAACCCACTCCAGAGGGCCCTAAAACCTCTTCTTCATCCATCTTTTTCTACTTAAATTTACGGCCTGCACACTTTCAAGCTGCATATCCACCCGTGATGCTGAACACAATGCACTGCAGTGTCTCAGCATTGAAAATGAAAGGGATCACATTCTTGGGCTATGATGGGTCACAGTGACTGTGCAGTGCACGTGGTGAACAGGGCTGGCCAATATAAAACAATGCAATATCCTGACATGAGCATTCAATGATTGTTTTTTAATTGGCTATAGGGCTCTTAAAATAAAGATGCACTGATTATTTTTAAGGGCACAATAATATGCAGAAATATTTAAAAGCATAAGCAAAACAACAAATACATTGCTCTATTTATGCTTTTTCACACAATAACAATAAAATCAATCATCAATACTGAAAACAGCTTGCTTTACAAGACTAAAACTGCACCGAATAATGACAAAGGTGACATTATTAATGCAAGAAACCTATTTGAATAAGTTACTTTTAAAAAGTGATAACCAGCGTTAATTTAAGGAAAAATCGTTCAACATTATTATTTTTAACTGTTTTTAATGAGACTTTTTACTGTATTTTAGATAACTGCACTGTAAAGAATTGCTGTAATTTTTACAGTAAATATTTACAATAGACCACTGTATTTTATTTACAGTAAATTTTTTACAGTGTGCATAAATATTCTCAAACTAATTGGATACAATATCCAGAAAGTTTGGTTAAAATTATCTATCAAAAAAATCACTTTTAAACTGAACAATAAATACATTTTGGGTTTTCATTGTTCCATTTATGCTTAATTTCATATAATAACAACAAAATGACCTGCTTTACAAGAGTAATACTCCATTGAAAAAAAGTGGAAAATTATGCAAGAAACAATTCTGAAATAAGTTACTTTAAAAAAAAACTAATAACTTATGTGCATTTAGGGGGGAAAAATGTTTAAAACATGCTTCATTTTTAACTAGCCTTTTTACTAGGTTTTACATAACTGCATTAAATATTTCCAATCTTGACTGCAATGAAAGTTCAGTTGAAATTGTGGTTCAAAATCACCCTAATAAATACATTTTGATAAATAATCAAAATCATTAATCTATTACCTCTGAAGATGAACAGCTTGCTTTACAAAACTACAATAATGCATTTTTTAAAAAAAGCAAAAAGGGAATATCTGAATATAAAAGCCGAACTTATAACTAATGTTTAATTTAGGGAAAAACTGTTTAATAAGGTTATTTTGATTTTATACTGTGTTTTTACATAACTGCAATACGCATTTGCAATTTGGTTGAAATGATTCAAAATCACCCTTTTAAGCCATTTAAGAGCAAATATATATTGACATTGACAGACAGCGCTCGCGGCCCCCAAACTATTTCACCATCACACTGGGCCCCCCAAACAAACCTTCACTATACTGGCTATCCACAATGCCAGTGTAAGGCAAACTGCACTCACCATAGAAACCACACATAGCATGTCATCAGTTTATGGGCAATGGGAGGAGATCGAGGGGCTTTTGTTGAAACAAAGGATGTAACTCTTCCTCTGCTTTGGCACTGCCATCAAACAAACAGCGGCAATCAAAAGTCAATGCAGCACGCTGTGGCACAACAGCACAACTACTGGGAAAAGCTGGGCACTTTGATCATTAAGTGACTTCATGCTCTTGAAAGGTTCGAAAAACAGTTTATGCAACCTGCGCGGGAAAATGACAACATTTTGGCCTGTACCCACCCACCTGTAGCCTTACCTCGAAATAAGACACGACGGGGGCTTCCCGTCAACAGGGGCCCTTCTTAGATTGGTGACAGGAAACATCTGGTGTTATTAAACACCTCGAGCCATGCCATATTTAGCATCAAACCTAATAAAACCGCACAGGTTAGGTCTCTTCACGGTCACTGGCCACTTAGTTCCCACAGCACAGACGCAAAGACTCACAGGGACAGAATCACAGAATCCAGTGAACCGCAGAATCCAGTCACAAAAATGGAATTTACAATTAACGCGGAATGTCACGTAATTTGGCAGATTTTGGATGGATAAATGTCTTAAACTGTCAGAAATAAAAGTTTGGTTTAACGATGAAACTGTGACAGAAATATATTATTGTAGAGTAGAATGTACTTCGCAAGTAATCATAAATAAACAAACAAACAAATCAGATTTCAAAGCGCCCTAAAAATGCAATTGTTGTTAAACTTTTAATAAATTGTTGTTAAATTGAATAAGTTTCAAACTTTAAATAATTAGACATGCTTTTTTCGTCAATAAATTTAAATTAACCATTAAAACAGAATCCAGAAAATTTTAAGCATAAGAAAATTGAATCCAGACAATTTCAAAATAGAAAAAAAATTAAATACCACCTTAATAAATTGTTGTTAAATTGTATCATTTTTATGATTTCAATTCATTAGACATGCTTTTTGAGTGAAAAATCCAAATGGGAAAAAAAGTATAAAAAAAAAAGACTGAATTTAGAGAAAAAAATTCAATGGAATTTGGGGGAAAAAAATAAAACAAATTTCATAGGGCCCTAAAATTAATATTTTGTTACCTTTTAATAAATGATTGTTAAATTGTATACATTTCATGATTTCAATTAATTAGACATGCTTTGATGAATAATATTTAATTTAACTATTAAAATGAATCCAGAAAATGGAAAAACATAATTTGGGAAGAATAAATCAGATTTCATAGGGCCCTTTAGGCTGCCAATTCCATTGCAAACTACTCGGGGGCAAAAAAATTAAAAAAACATGTCAATCAACCCCTGTACCCCGAAGGTACATTATTTTATACAATCTTGAAAATGCCTTATTTCTCAGCAATAGTACAGAACCATTGAACATGTTCTAAGGGAAAATCCAATGCGCAATATAGCCTTTCTTCACAAAGCCCCTTCAGATTGGGGTATTCCATAGGTGACACACAATGCAGACCCCTGAAATATCACCTTATTAGTCAACACAGAGCAAGTATCATTCAAGAAAACAGCCACAAGCAAAAAGGAATACACGACTTAAGGGAAGTGCACTTAAAAATGGGAAATGTGCCAGTGATGAACTTCTGACCTTGATGTCAGTGAGGTTATGAGAGGTCACTCGTCTGACCTGATTCTAACCCACACTTACTGCTGGTTACATGAGGCAAACCACCCTCATCATGTCTGACCAGTGCTTCATCACATCACAAAATGACTCATAGTCAGCCTTTAAAATGCCCACGATGAGGCACAATGAGACAATTGCTCTGATCTAAACCATACTACAAAACATGTACGAAGAACAGTACAAACATGAACTCAGTATTTCACAGAAACGCTTGACTATGGTACAGTCAAGCAGTCCTAAAATGAGAATTCTAGTGGAAAAGCTTTTGAGACACTTAAAAGCAGAAATGGACCCATCCTGGCTTTTCACGACCAACAGGATTATGTTAGTGTCTGATGACCTTATTATCTTAAAATCAATTACTTCAGTTTTTGACACAATAATGGCTAAATATATCATTATTAGGACATAATTAAAACATCTAAACATTTAATCACAATTAAAACACTAAAAATGAATAAATTTTATTAAAGGTGAAGTTATTATACAAATAACACATTAAATACATTTCTTTAAAAATGTTTTAAGTTAAAGGTAAAAATACTGGTCAACCCGATTGTTGTTGTACTCCTGGTAATTGTGTTTCCACACATTTTAATCAATGAAATTCACACTGAATTACTAATGAATCATTCAGACCAATCTGTGAATCGGTTTGACAAAACAAGAGACACAAAACCGCATAATTAGACCTCACAAAAATCATTAGGATATTAAGTAAAGATCATTTTCCATGAAGATATTTTGTCAATTTCCTACTCAAAAACGTAATTTTTTGATTAGTAATATGCATTGCTAATAACTTCATCTGGACAACTTTAAAGGCGATTTTCTCAATATTTCGATTTTTTTGCACCCTAAGATTCCAGACTTTCAAATAGTTGTATCGCAGCCAAATATTGTCCTATCATAACAAACCATACATCAGTGGAAAGCTTATTTATTCAGCTTTCAGATGATGTATAAATCTCAATTTCAAAAAATTGACCCTTAAGACTGGTTTTGTGGTCCAGGGTCACAAATATGTATCCATTCAATCCCTCGTCATGACGTTGCAAACAGCCAGATGTGCGCGAAAGACCCAACATCATACACACCTGTAGTTCCGATTTCCATTCATGAGGTCTCTGTCCGGTTCCGTCCCCGGCTCGCAGTAGACGAACTTTAGAAACTCTACGGTTCCGTTAACCCAATGCGAGCGTTTCCTCACAGTTTAAAGGCTCCTAATCCAGTGTCCCAGAAGCTCGTATATCAGAGGAGAGGGGGAGGTTCGGTGCCTCCGTATGTGGCTCGAACTATCCGGTCTGGATTTCAGGTTCGGTTGACAGATTGACGTGACGGCAAGCTAGCCAGCCAGCTAAAACGAGAAGTTCCCCTGAATACAGTCCCGAATCGCTGTTTCTGTGACGGCGACGCCTTCAGAAACGCGTCTTTGGAAAGACTGAGGCGGTTTGTTGAGGTGTTATGACGTTATAGCGAGTAAAAGTCAACTTATGTCGCCTCCGCTCTTCGACACAGCTAGCCTGCTACTGCTAGCGGCCAGGCTAAACAGCTAAGCTACATTCCCATCTGTGAGGGGAAAAATCCGCGAAAGTCCCCGATCCTCCATGAATTCCGTCCTCGACGCTCGAGGCCTTTCGATGGCGCGTACTCCCTTCGTTTTACGCCGGTGGTGACACGAAATAAGTTGGGAGTTGAACTCTCTCGCTCTCTCTCGCAGGGTTTCTCTGACACTCAGAGCCTCTGCGATACTCGCTTCAGCTAAATATGGAGCGTCTGATCCTCCGCGAGCGCGACGCACGGACCTGCCGCGAGAGCCGCGCGCTGATTGGCTGCGAGGGAAAGGACGGGGTTTGAGGCAGCCTCATCATCATCAACAATTTATTAGGCCTCATTCATCTTGGTAAAAATCCTTCGCAAAACCATTCAATTCTATCTACTCACTAAAAAATGTTGGGTTAAAAACATTTAGGTATAGCACCTGCCCATCTGTGGGTTATTTTAACCCAATGAATTGGCTGGGTTAAAAGTTACCTAACGAGTTATTTATATTAATTCACACCAGTATTTTTTATAAAATTACTTAATAAAACTACATTATAAAAGTACTTTGTTTTCAAATACAGATTTTGTTTATATAAATATGCCAATAATACATTTTTAACCAATATATTTTGAAATGTAAAAGTTTTAGTAAGTACAGTAAATTCATACTGTAAATGTTTACAAAATAAATGTTCAAGAATGTGTACAAATATTAAATTCAAAAACACACAAATGTGCACATACAACTAACATATTTTCAAGATGTACAGTGAATTCAAAACCAACAAATGTGTATCAATTCATATTCAATCATATCAAAACATACACAAATGTGCACATACAGTATGCAAAATAAAACAAACATAACATGCAAACATATATCAATAAAACAAAAAATAATCGTAAACACAAGTAATAGTTTTTTTCAACTGCTTGCTCACACACAAAATCTTTACTTGTCACACAATTTCTGAAACCGCTAATTCTTGGCCTTTGACTCAGTTTTCAATTTCATAAAACACTTTTTGAGATGTTTGTGATATTTTGAATGCAGTGCTTCATTTTGCAAGAGATGTGAGGCATTTTGCATTTTGTGTGTGCAATTTTTGGATTTGTCTGTAAAGTTTTGAAAAAAAGAGGCGAGGTTTTGAAAATGTAAGCAGTTGAAAAAACTGTAATAATAATAATAAAAACAAATCTGCTGGCTGCTGGACCTACTGATGATCAGTAAAATAAAACGTTTTTACTGATCATTTAAAGGGGTCATATGATGTTGCTAAAAAGAACAGTATTTTGTGTATTTGGTGTAATGAAATGTGTTTATGCGGTTTAAGGTTCAAAAAACACATTATTTTCCACATACTGTACATTATTGTTTCTCCTCTATGCCCCGCCTTTCTGAAACGCGTC